GACAAAAACCCATTTCCACATGATATGTTTTTCTCTCGGTAATGTGGAAATGGGTTATTGTCTGGGTTTTTTTTTCAATATGAATAAACAAATCTTCATTTAATTGGAATAAAATTTGGCAGTTTTGATATATGATTAAAATTTCCAGAGCCTTAAAAGTGGTGTCGGAACGCAATTTAGAATTTTTATAATTGATTTTCAGGAAATGCCCTATTTTTGTGAACTTCAAAAAGTCTACTCATAATTGGTTTTATTTATTTTCCGATTTCCTTAAATGCATTCTTTAGGTACTACAAACACATATGAACCCAATGATACTTCACTACAAAGTTTGGTTAAAATCAGTTTAAAAGCTATTGGGATAGATGACGGACATTGCACCACGGAATAAGATCAAATGTCCTAATAACCGTTATCAATGGATCAGCACCAATCCAATCTTCATTTTTCCCCCACATAATTCTTTGTCTAGAGAGAGACGTAAGGCGGGCTGTTGGGAGTTTAATCGCCGAGGAGGATGCACATTATTTCTTGTCAATTTTGAAAGACATGTCTTCTGATGTGGAAAAACAGCCCGGAGGATTCAGGCACACATTAAACATTGATTATTTTATGGCGTTATTTTATACTTGGAAATAATTTTTAGAATATAAAGTTATGTTTAATAATTAAAATTAGTTCTATATTAGGTGTAAAATACTCTTAATTCCTCCCCGAATCAAACTTGAAAACACGAAGACGTCGCATACAAACACTAGTAATCAAATCGGCCGACAGGGACGAATGTCATTTGGCACAGTATTTTAGATGTACACATGCAGTGTGTGTGCTGCAACTTTCTCATGCATAATATTAGCATTGATATGAACATGAAAAGGCACGAGCAGTCAGTTATTCCGAAGCAACTGCAATCCAACCGGTAATTATGTGACGTCAATCGGACCGTGTTAAGACACAAGAGGTGTATGTGCCTAAACGGTCACCTGAGGGAATTGGTAATGTCTGATAAAATCCCGTAATGGGGCGGTCTGAAAAGTGAAACAACAGTGTACAGTATTCAGGACTTTATAACGAACATTTGAAATAACCTTTCTTGTCAATGCAACCGTGTTTTATGAAGACATGCATTACATGTGCAATATACTCCTACATTTATCAGGATATATCTTCAGGATCCCATCATTTTTCCACCAATGTAGGTTCTTTCTCTTTTCTTGCCTTTTCTGCCTCATCCTCCAGACTGGTCCGCAAAACACTAATTACAAACTATCAGTCATGTTAACGTTAAATATAATTTTAACAATGACTAGAAACATATATACAAATGACCTTCGAACATTTTTTAAATACAAAACATATACCCTTACAACTAAACAGAAAAGCACTCTGGAAACGCTGCACTTCATAAATATTACATATGAATATTTATTGAGATCTGGATTTCATACACGTATTGAGCCAGTGGATACCTTACCACCTAATTTATATTGCTAATCACCAGATTTCACACTTATATAATATACAATACATGTTGTTCAACATCCTCGTGAACCTGGCAACTTTAATACTTGCATACAACACCATTGATTCATTACCGCAATGATACACACTTATCTGCTGTTCCTACCTCTTTCTTATACATTATCATCCCCATTCCTTAAAGGACTCCGAACAATTTTGATGTTCCTTTTCTGTGATAATTTTAAGTTCCTACAGGAATTGTTTAATGAAGAAACGAGAAAGCAAAAATGACGTTCTGAAGTTCCTAAAAAATATTTCCTGAAAATCAATTATAAAATTTCAAAATTGTGTTCCGACACCACTTTTGAGGTTCTGTAAATTTTATTCATGTATCAAAACTGTCTTATCTTATTTATATTGAAAAAAAACCCAGACAATAACCCATTTCCATATCACTCAGAAAAAAAATATCATGTGGAAATGGGTTATTGTCTTTTTTTCTCTCAATATAAATAGTCATAACATTTTTATTTATTTTAAACATCAAAAGCATCAACTATGAAACGATTTCTCTGATT